CAGTTACATTTTTTTCACGGGTAAACAGTGCCATCTGCTGGTTACCGATGACCTCAAAAAAATCTCGTAAAAGAATATTTTTAAACTATGAGAAATTTGTTTCATACGGTCCAGGATGTCCCAAAGCCGTGTACCCTGTTCGACGACTACACCACCCCCCACCCCCGTCCACGCGACCCTGACTAGGATAAGTGGTTAGAAGACTGATGGATGGAAACATTTATTTCTAAAAGAATGAATTAATGAATGAATGAAGTAATGAGTGAACAATGAACTACTACTGTACGTACTTTTACTTATTTCTGACGTGCTCGAGTTTTACCGAAGCAATATTTACTAGTGATGGTTAAAACGCGGTTCTGTACTGTGGTTACTGCATGGGGGTTGAAAACAATAAATCAGCTAATGGAAAGTGTGTAGTTCAACAAATCAGCTAATGGAAAGTGTGTAGTTCAATAAATCAACTAATGGAAAGTGTGCCTTTTCAGGCAATGTGCAAGTTTCAAAGGTTAATGACTGATTTGACCGGTGCACTATATATGCACAGAAACATTATAGTTGAACTTAGATAAAGCAATATATAGGCCTACTAACGTTTGTATAATAAAATACGTCATTTGGTGTATTTAATAATGGTTAATATCTGCCTACTGAATGCCACAATTGATTCGTGTATATAAATAATTTGCTACTTAATGGACTAAGTTTATAAATGTGTCTATTTGCTAATCAGTCATATCGTAGCCTAAGTCTTTGACTCGTCGGTCTGTAATTGGCGGCATATTTGGTTTGAGCTTGAGAGCGGTTTTGTTACTGAGTTATAAGGGATAATAACACCGAAGAGAGTCTTGTCACCCGTAATCGTGAGTACAGTCACTTTTTATAGGCCACGTTTGGTCTAGGCGCGGTGTAGCAGCTTCAGGGCAAATAGCAAGGCAGCGACATGTGGTACAGTCTATTTCTGTTGTTCTATTCGGGTCCCGCTCTGATCACCATATAGTGCCGTTTTCTGGTCAATAGCAGTTAAAGATCCAGTTGGGGGCGGATTCATGCATCAGCTAGGCAGGTTATGCTTGAGGAGGTCTGGTAAGGACACATGTAGTCCTTTATTCTTGCTTCTCGAAACCCCTCTAAGCTCTGACCACCATCAGGCCTACTTAATGTCCTTGTTCATAGCTTATTACAATTCTCTGGATCTTTGGTTTCACGAAGCCAATGAACATCTGTCTGCCCAAGCCCGACAGCACATGAGTTAGGACGTACAAATTGAGTCAATTAAATATGTAAGAAAATGAACCGCTACCCATCAACACGTAATCGTTTATCAAGCGTGTCCTTCTTCACCATTATGCGTTTATGGCCACTGCTTGATTTACTACAGCTACACATTGTAGCGCGCCGCTCAGGGCGCGTTAAAATGTCAAATGAGGATATGAATTAGCTAGCAGCCAAAGCGGCATTTCTCCAGACCATGCATCCGGAAATGCACGCTTGTGTTTTATTGCACATCTCAATTTATCAACAGAAAGAGCATTTAAGCACTTATTTCAGGCCATGAAAGCTTATTTCATGGCAGAAGTCTTCAAAGGAAGCAAAAAAAAGGAAGCATTTGAAAAATTCTTTTCGTTTTTATCTTCTGTTTGATTTTATCAATTGAAAACAAAGTTTGGAAGCTTCAGGCGATACAACCACCAGAAGAAGTGGCAGCAGTTTCAGTGATAAACATGAATTATAACTTAAACAAATAGGCCTGACTAGTGGTTGATTGTGAATTAAAATTCACTAGTGGCCAAAATTGGCGGTAATGTTTATAAACAATCAGACAATGTTTACAAATATCGTACATTGGATGATTAAATAAGTAACTGGAGCAAAAGTTAAATAAGGTTATGCCATCTCTAAAAATTTGAAGCGTTTCCACAACTTTGGACACTGGTCTAGCTAGGTAGTGCAGTAACAGTTGTGTGAACGCTTTAGAAACACAATAAGAATGTTACGCGTATAACTGAAGTGAAAATTGCGCTTTACAAATGATTCAGCTATTATTCACTGCTTACAAGCCCTTCTATCCTGCTTAAAAAGTGACAGACCAGAGAAGTGAACAAATCCAGCACTGAATAGGCCTAAAAGAGACAATCAAACAGGAAACTGTTATCAGTAGCTTCTATTGGACAGAAGGACGCCTAGCAGCAATCAGAATTTCTGCCTAAATCTGCTTGTGCCAAGGTACCAAAACAATGGGATTAGTGACAGATATCCTGGCGCTTTTCTTTCAGAATTAACAGTAATGGCAGCGTGTGCGTGACGAGTGAGGACCTGAGCAGCCCAGCGTATCGGAATCGGTACCACGACAGGGAGGCCCATTCAATAATCCAGCTATTTACGGTCCGTGACGGAATAGCACGCGCCAAACTCTCACTCCTGCCTTCATTAACAGAACATTACATTGTAACGATGGCCAGCTATGTCTCCTCACGGGCGCACGATTATGCAGTGAAAGCGAGGGTAAGCACCGTTTCAATTAAATGTTTTCGGTGGGAACTTTGTAAAGCCCGTTAAATGACAGAGGGCACCACAGAAAAGGAGACGTTAAATCCCAGCCAGTACGAGGAGACAAAAGTGACTATATTCATGAAATTGTCACAGGATGAAAAGGCAGTAATTAAGGCGTTATGAGGGCCTACATGGAGATGGAGTGGGGGCTTGAGGACTGCAGCTGGACTGAAGCGGACGTGAGAGGCTCCGGATTCTCATTTGTAGCCCTCATGCAGCCATAAATCTGACAGGGGGCATCAGCGGCCAGCAGATCGTAGCTCTAACTAATTCGGCTGAGGTTCCCACAAGCCTGCAGAATATCACTTTCAATTATGTTTTGTTCCAGCTTAAATTCAAGCCCAAAAACACATTTTTAAACATTATTCAATACTGGATATTCAATATTTCTCTTTCAGTGTAATTGTAATTTTTTCATTACTATAATCACACAATGATCTCGAATACACATAGATTACCTGTCTGATATGTCTCTGGGAAATCTATGACATCCAGAAACAGATGATTTATCAACACGGAATAATGTGATTATTCACAATCCCCCCCCCAAGGGGATGAACATGTCCTTGCATGAATAGGGGGTATTTTGGTAATAGGTTTTGCTTCTTATTGAATGATGTTGACATAGAATGCTGTGAGAAAAAAGCACAGTGCAAAATTGCACCACATCGATTCTGCCAGTTGGATAGATGAGATTGTGTATAGCTATACCCATTTATAATGACCTCCTTAAGGGTAACCCTTTATACATACATTTAGGTTTACATATAAATTCCCTATGACTATAAATCAAGGATAGGCCTACTTAGAGGACTTAAAAGCAATAAGCAAACAAATAAATAAATCCATACATCTTCCACCTGGTTCTCTGGCACTGGGTCACAGGAAGCTGGGATTCTATCCCAGGAGGCATTGGGCACAGTCAAGCGGGCAGTCTGGGTAGGATGCAGGGACATTGTGGAATACACACACAGGATGGGTGATTTAGAGGGAGGTTTGGAGCTACAGTGATACAAACAGTCATCATATCCACAATACCAACAACAATAGAGACAGTCTGCTTCCTTGTGTATTTACTTTGTTTTAGTGATTTAAGTGACTTCTCATCACAAAGGATGTAGATATATCAGAAGATAAAGGGCATGTTAAATGACTGAGTCACTCACAGAAGATCATACAGAGGAAAAAAGCTGCCTGATGACAAGCACTTGGGACTCTGTCTGTCCTTATTGGGCTGCCTCGCAGTATACTGGATCACTGGGCAGTAGCAGGCCTGACTAGAGACACTTGGGGTACAGGACCAATTATCCCCTATTATAAACACAGTTCTTTGCAAGATCTGAGCAGCTGTGCTTGTTAAAGAAACTCAGACGTCATAATTTATTAATAAAGCCATGTGCAGCCACCTGTTTCTTGTAGAATGGTTTGGGCAGCAATGCACTCAGATCTTCAGTAGGATGTGGGAAGCTTATTTTTATAGACGTTAATTAACGTAGATGGTGATTAAACGATTGGGATGCTGTTTTGATTATTCTCTCGTTTTAGTTATTGCAATCATTCATTTACTGTTTGTTTGTCTGTTTAATTACATCGTGGAGTATATTATAACGCAACTGCCGGTTTTCCAGAACATATACAGAGCGTTGCTTTGCATTATGGAGCAGCAGTAGGGTAGCGGATTCAAACGCAAAGAGAGTGAGGCAACCACGCTACCTACTGTTACTATGTTCATTTATAAAAAATGTAAAAAAAATCACATATCTGTTTCAATTCGTAGTATGTCATACATAGAGAGAGCTGTAGTAAAAGAACAGCATCCTAACAGCTTGGCAGGTACCTGTCTTTGAGCCTTTTGTTTGACTCTCAGTTACCCCACCTGTTCGGCTGAAAAGGCGCGCTCTGATGCTCCTACGCTCCGGCAGGGGGCAGTGCCCGAGCATGCGCAGAGCCGCACATAGGGAACCTCCGCTTCTCCTGTGACAGCGCTGAGGGGCAGAAGGACCGCCGTGTGGGTAAGAAATTAATAACATTACATACAACATCAGCAGCGACAGCGGCACTGCCACCGCTACGCCTTATTTACAGGTGCGGTGACTCCCAGAAAAACAAACAAACACACAGGCTGCGGCCGTATTTCGGGAGCGATCCGAAAAGCGGCCGATCCTATTCAAATCCGGTTTGAGATGATCTTTTTTTTTTCATTTTCTTGTTGGGGTAGGATAAAACTAGGTGGTGGTCGCCGAAATGCAGCCAAAGTGAGACAGTGAGTGCGGTATGGTTATGTTATACGGCGATAGGGAGCCCTGTGTAAACAGTGTAAACAGAAAGTGCGTCTTGTCGGGCTCTCTGCTCTCGGAAATGTTTCCTCTGTCTTCAGTCGCACTGCCACATTTGTGACTGATCTCCACTCTTCCTTCAGGTGTCCTCCCCGTCTTTTAACACTTTGAGCAGTTTGAAGTGGCAAAGCACATGAAGTACAGTAGACTTTCTTCCCCTCTCTGTCAGGTTTTCACCCCTGTCGTGGACATTTGTTTTCCCGTAGATGCTTGTGAGGTCAGATACTTCTCTATTATTGACATATTTGTTTCATGTTGTTTAGTTGGAAAGCCTTCGCCATTTTGGTCTGAATTGGTTTTCTGTAACAAATCCGTGTTTGTTTCCTTAATGTAGCGTAATGTGTGCTCAGAAACAGCAACAGCCATTTATTTAGACATTTCAGCAGCGTATTTGTTTTATTGTCAGCGATTCGCTTTAGTCCAAACACTGTAACTTGTTGTAGTAACAGCAGTGTTGAAAATGCAGCCGTCCAGTGACTTAATATTTATGTGGTCCTTTTACACCAAGAGCTATTCTTATTCTTTTCTGGTAACTTGAGAAAATAAATGATTATGGTGCTTATTCAGGGGGCAAGAATTAAGTTCTTTTGACAAGTCATAAAACACCTATTAAACGTCCCTAGATGTCAATTCGTGTGCATTATAAAAATTATTTTGGTGACTAGTTGACTAACATACAGATATGAGTTTTCTTCAGGTTTGAATCTGTTCAGTTTGTAGAATTACTTGAATATTTTCATCATTATATTTGTGATTGGTAACAGCAATTCCAGCACTAGTATTTTTGGTGTCTGTCCTCACACAGTGTTGTTTTGTGAAATTAGGTGATCCAGAGGTTTATTAATAATAAATGTAGCGTTCATTGATTGTAAAGTGATTTATAGACATTTGGTTGCATCTGACCCTGGTAACAGGTCTGGATTTCTGACCCGTTTTTGTGGATTTCACCTTCCACAACGATGCTGGTTGCTGTGCTCTTGAGAAAGGGACTTAACCTGTACTTGTGTAAATTAAAGTTAAAAAATGTAAGGTATTAATGTGACAGCAGAGAAAATACAGTTTAAACAGAGCATATTTCTACACGAGGATGCTGGCTTTCTCTCAAGGACAGTCTTGGAGAGTCACTGTAAATGTACTATTTTTGTTCAAAAAGTGTCGTCTTGTATGCTTAAACCAGGACAAAAATGTTTGCCTGTTGGGCATGTAATAAAATATTTATGCTGAACCGCGTTGTTCAAAACACAAAGGGAAAATGCTTGATGCATTTATGTATTTAACTTTAATGATATATATTAACCTTTAAATGTTAAGATTAATCTAGCAGTTTGCCGTTGGTTTTTACTGTGGCTTGAATGTGTGAAGCTCACACGTATACATAGGCCTAGTTTTCGTTCCCGAAACGAATGCATAATTCCCTGCAATAGAACTTGTGCATTTATCCATCCACTACTTTCGTTTATAAACGAATGTCAAATAAAACCAAAATTCCTAAACTGACACTTGGTATGAGGAAAACGTTTGATAGCTTTTAAAACTATTTGTAGTAATACAATGTCGTGGAACCTGGATGCATTGTGCCATTTGAGAACATGAATGTCGAAACTTAAAGTATTGAAATTTATGTGACGTTCTTTATTTTCTTCAGACACCTATCCTTGGCCTCTCTTACGTTTCAATTTTAAATCCCTTTATTCTCTTAGATTCTGTTCAGTTTTCCCCAGATTAAAGCCCTGTGCTCTCCGGTTGCGTTTCGTTTGTGCTTTACAAGTGTGGTTGCTTAATTACACCTGTCTTTCCTGTAAAGAGGGAGGGAGAGTGAGGGGTTTGTAACTGTATTGTTTGGATGAGTTTACATGAGGGGTGGGCAGTCTTATCCATAAAGGGCCAGTTTGTATGCAGGTTTTTGGGATAACCTTTAGGTCAGCTGTTCAAACCCAGGTGTGAGGACTCTTCAGCCAATCAGTCCTCTAATTAGTAATCTAATTAGGAAGTTGGAGTGAAAACCCACATACACAGCAGCCCTTTCTGGGTATCATTGCCCACCCATGGTTTACACGCTTGGAATACTGGCGCACATTAAAATGGAATACATTTTCAAAGGCCTCTTAAAGTACATATTCAGTGTGCTAAATTTTGAAGGAATTTTGTCAGAGGAAGTAGTAGGCAGCAGTTCGGAGAGGGACACTTACAAATGTTTTGAAAAGTCATTGCAAATGTGAGCTAACTGTTTAAAATAAATTGTCACAGACAGAAAACTCTGCAGGAAACGACAACATATCCGCAATCCATGACCTTCGGGTTTTAAATACCCTACAGTGCAGTACATGGATGTATTATTTGTTCTGTTTATGGATGGTGTTGTGGCTTGATTGTGCCCTCATTAGTGGCTTTAGTGGATACATGCCGGACAGGAGGTGCCAACCCAGCGACATGGGTGTGGGGAGACACTGGGACAGATCTGTTAGGCAGCCTGTGTTTTGATGGGACGCATTTCTATAAGACCCCTTGACTGTCTCTGCTGTTAATATCTAGTCTGTTGGTGACTGGAGGTGTTGACACTTCCTCTAGTTTGATGATAAGCTTTTTTTTTTCTTCGTGGCCACTCAGCTCACATTCGGGATCTACTCAAGGGGCTTCTGCACGCTGTTGATGAACGTCAGCCTCTCTCATGGTCAGTGCACTTTGGTTCGAAAGGTACAGTTATAGAAATACACATTTAAAAGAACCTGGAGGATTAATAGTGATTTGGGATTAACGGCTGTGATTTAACGTTCTAATGATCCCACTTTCGTTTTTGGTGATGTGTCTGGAAATCGGTGCTCGCTTGTGGCTTTCGGGATGCCCCATCACTGTGGTATGAGATGGGTCTCAGCGCTTGGTTCCGGAATGTTCCGGCAGGCAGCCCCTTACGTGCTGGCCCTCTCCGGCCCCGTCTTGTAGAGGATGGGAATGGATGTCACTTCCCTGACATCGAGCCTGACGCTAATTTGTTAGTGTTCTCTCGCATATCTTACACTCCCATTTTATCTTTCTGTTTTTTTTTTCTCCTTCCATTTATAGATGTAAGTAATATCACGCAGGGTAATTCGCTGATTTATTTATTCTAGTACAGACATGATGCAGTGGCATACTACATGGTAACCAAGGAAACTGGAATTTCCCCGTATTGGTGCGGCACAGTCGCTCACAGACGCGTCTGGTGATACTTTGTTAATGGGTCACCGGCTTGTTTAGCCTGCCGTATTAAGCCGAATGCCTTAGTGTATAATGTAACACCGAAAAATGCTTTTGTACATGTGGCATTGTGAGCATGGTAGCAGTCATGAGTGTTTAATATTGCTGTCATTGGTGTTTTGTAAGTAAATAGTTTTTTTTATACATGAAAGTCAAATCCAAATGGAAAGTGTCGATTGTAGGGGACAGATATTTCTTGACCACCATCTTGTCATCGATTGATCTTCAAATGCGGTTGACCCACCAATCCGCTGTCTTTCATGTCCTTTGCACTTCTGCTCTCGTTCAGTTGACCCAAGGCTGACAGCTCTTCATATGAGCAAGATGTTTTCAACTGAATGAAATGTCATATTCGAATGCAAAAATGAAGCGACAGCCCCCGAATAGCTGTCACAAGTTGTTGCAATAATAATTCACGCCAGCTTCTCTGTGAAATGGCTGGTTTCCTCTGGAGCTCTATATCCCTTTAGAGGGTTTTCTGTAACATGCTGTTCTGTCCTTCACCAGTAACCTCTATGGTCTTACACTAATGCCACAGTGTTTTTAATCAACCATGAGGAATCAACCATTAAATTGCTACCTTTAAATGTAGGATTATCAGGTCACAAGTCACCTGGTCATTGTATTAATGTCTTTTATGTTTTTTTAAGTATTTGTTTTGGAGTATTTGTATACAAACAGTAGTTTTCTGGCTCCTGACAAAGAATTTAGTCATAGCTGCTGACACATTTCTGTTGATTGAATGTATGAATCAGGAGAACAGCTGAATGTTTTCAGGCCTTGGGTTGGATGGAGGTGGACCTGGGGTCTGTATCACAAAGCAGGATTTCTTGCATAGCTGGCTAGCTTGTCAGATTTAAGTTTAATTAAATGGACTTTATCCTCATTCACTCACATTTAGCTCACACTACCTTAAATCTGACAAGTTATCTGGCAAAGCAAGAAATCCTGCTTTGTGATACAGGCCCCTGGCTCAAAGTCACTTTGTTGTTGCCGTTATTGTTATTTTTATTGTAGGTACTGAATTGCTTTTACTTTCGCTTTATCAGTGGGAGCCTGCCTTCCATTTTGTTATAATAAAGAATAAGCTGAACTTGTCATAAGCTTCGCTCGGTGCCTAAAGGAATTCATCACCCGTATTTTTTTTTCCATACATGTTGAATTATGTGTTAGAGTGCAACATCCATCTACTGAGACCACACGTTTTCGGTGGAAACGCAGCAAGACCCTCAATTGCGATAAACTCTGACTGTTGTACTTACCATATATTGTATTTTTTATATATATACATATATAAAACCATAAAGCTGTTATCACTTTGCAGACTATGATTTTTTTCTTTTTTTTCTCCTAAAAAATCTCAGAAAATAGTTTCGGCTCATACCAAACAAGAAAATGTCAGAAATATGTCTTTGCTTTGGGCTTCATTCTGAAATATTTTGTTGTGGTGAAACTTGTTATAGTGCTTGCTTCAGAGGGAAAATTATGTTCTAAAAGTTTAAAGCCATATAAATGTGTGTTTTACTCTCTCCTTAGTCATATTTTCATAGGGGTGATTCTAGGCATTGTTGGGTGGTGTTTTGTGTCGATATAGAGTCTTGATGTCCTGTTCTCATTGACCATTTGACACTTGGGTGAATGCTGGTGTATTATTTGGGGACGCGGGTCTGCGGTAGCTGTTTACCGGGAAAGCCGTGATGATGTCATCCGAGGTGTTGCCCAGGCCTGCATTTGCTGGCCCCCATCCGACCCTCTGATGCTGATTTGCTGAAGTGGTACAGCCATGTGAAGCCGTACTGGCTTCTTCGGGGGCTGCCGTTGGGCTCGGATCTTCCAGGATGTGCAAAGAGGGCTTTTTACGCAGCGCCATTGGTGTTCAGGCAGACGATTGATGTTTCTGGCGAAAAGTGTACAGCAGACTGATTAAGCTACTCAACAATTAGCTTTGAGTAAATATCCTGCATTGCCTTAGAAATCTATTATTATATATGGTGTATATACTCGCTGTTTGCTGCATTTTATGTGTGTGTTTTAATCAGCTTCCTCTTTCAATCTCTGCCCTACAGAACAGGGACCCAGCCTGAGAGTCTAACAAGCAACGATGTAATTGACATGGAGGCAGGACAGCGGAGTCCCTCGTAGACTGAAGCGGTTGAGTCGAGCCAGGGTGAGGTGTGTGACTAACGGCTCTCCTGCTGTCGCTCCTGACTGGGAACTAACGGATGTGATCACATTCCGCACCATGGGGAAGCTAAGAACGGTTAGTGGGAAGGCTTATGAGCCAAGCAGTCCTTCAGATGGGACTAATCTCTGTTATTTCAGGCTGGCTGTGGTCCCTCTACACCTTTAGAGACGACGCGGCCTTCAGTGTGGGTTCCCCCCAGAAACGACGCCTAAAAATACTGCTGTCGTGTAAACACATCAGTTTAAGAAGTAAAGCCAATCTTGACTAAATGGGGAGGCAGTCGTCATGGGTGATCGTATGGCCAGCTTTCAGATACAGGTAGAGCAAAAAGGTTAGAAGGTTTCTGTTCAGGCTTTTTGTACCATTAGTCAGGAGTTCCAAGGGACGAAACAACATGGAACTGGTAGCTGCTGTGCTGAAGATTTAGCTTGAGAAAGGAAGGATATTAGTTTGGGGAAAGAAAGTAAGTTTACAAGGTCTGACTTTTTAGGTTAAGTTGGATTTTTGTGTTTTTATTGGTGCAGTGAGACACGTTTCAGTGTGGGTGGATACAAACAGGAAAATTACTGAAATGTTACACCAGAAATAAAAACATTCCACATTATCAATGTTTCTTTGTTGGCTTCTTTCTATGAAACAAAGCATAGTGTAATTTTCATTTAAATAATAAGAGAAATGGTTTTTATTACATTAAATATAGTTTTGGGTATAATTTTCCGATTTGTATTAAAAGTAGAGATATTTATATGTACTTGTTTTCATTTTTCTGTTCCAAATAACTTGATCCCTATGAGTCACACAGCCGGAAAGAAAAAGGTAAAAGACGGAGGAAGAGGTGACATTATGCTGCGTGTGACGCATATTTGGCAGCACGTTTCTGATCGCTGCTTTGGTCCATGGTAGGAACTGCCAAAGATGCAGGGAGACGAACGGAAGAAGAAGAGGCTGGCCGTGACTCCCAGAGGAGGTGCCCTGGATGAGTACTACCTCAGAGTAAGTGTCTTTGGACGTGTTTCGCTTTGGGCTCTGATCGCACCCGCTGAAGGTGCCCCATAACCCCACTGCCTTACAGGAACGGCGGAAAGAAGACGAGGTCAAGATGAAGAGCAAAGTGTCTGCTTCCAGCGGTGAGCTTTTCTGCCGATGCTCCTCCTCTGCTACTTGCTAGTGAGTGGATTGCTTGTTGTGTACATTTGTTAAGCCCCCCCCCCCCCGCCAATCGCAGCAGTGAATACCAAGAAGAAGCTGTGGTCTTGGGATCAGTACCTGGAGGAGGAGAAGGCGGCTATGGCCCCAGTGAGGCTTTTCACAGAGGTATGAGACAGTGGTGATCTTACGGGGAGCGATGGAGGTTGATAGAGGATAACGATGTTGGACAAGGGTGTAACTTTGGTTTGAACATTGAGGAAGGAGGAGACATGATTATTGGGGGGTTGAATTAGCTGGTTTTGATTATTTGTGGGGTGGGGGGGGGGTTACAATCTTCCCGTAATTTACGCCCATGATGTTGACAGATAGTTTGTTCAATGTTTTAGCTTCATTGTTCATCCTTTGGTTTGTAGTGCAGTGTACTGGTCTTCAAAGGCTCCTCATTTGAATGCGTATTAATGTTCTTAGACAGCAGTATTAATTTCCCAAATTGTTGTCAGAGAAATATCGGCCAAAATGCTCCATTAGTTTGAGAGCCCTTTTATAAGTCATCAAGATGTGTGACTTGACGACTCTTAGCATGAATGGAGAGAGTATTTTTTTCATGTAGACAAGGTGCTAACATGGGAAGGGCTTTGAGGCCGCCGTGCATCTGGTTATCCAGGGGACACATACCGGGTGCATCTCACACCTGTTACCCGTGATTCACTCCATCTCCTCGTGTGCTTATCAGTTTTTCAGGGTATTTTTTGCCTTCTCTGACAAGATTTGATGAGACATCTGTTCTCTCAAAGTAAAAAAAAAAAAAAAAAAAAGCCGTTTCTATAGTAACCGGCCGGCTCGAAGGCCTTCGGAGTAGTGCCACCATCTAAAAAAAAAAAAAAACACAAACGTTGACATTGTTGGCATTCTTATCCATGGTTGCTGGGGTTTCCCTTTTTGATCGGGGTTAGAATTTTATCCTCCAAGCTGACATGGCTGTTCTTTGTCTCCTTTAGGAACAGTCCCTTCCACAGAATCGAAATGGCTTCAAGGCAGGGATGCGTCTCGAAGGAATAGACCCTCTCCACCCCTCCATGTTCTGTGTCCTGTCTGTGGCAGAGGTGGGTGAACCGCCAGCTCATCTGTTCAGCCATCCTTTCCCAGAAGCCTCTGTAAAATGCTTGAGTCTTCATAAACGCCTGGCCTTTCACTTCCTCCTTTCACTTTAAAATCTGGGAAGTCTGGTCATTTGCCCATCTTCTTAAAAGAAACGCCTCTGTTTATGCTGTATTCATCTGGAAGGTCATTGGCTATCGGTTGCGGCTCCACTTTGACGGGTACCCAGAGTGCTATGACTTCTGGGTAAACGCCGATTCCCCTGACATTCGGCCTGCGGGGTGGTGTGAGACGACGGGACGGAAGCTTCATCCTCCAAAAGGTCAGCCCCATGCCCTCATCTTCTCGGACTCCTTCATACCATGCCTTTCTTCATATTATTATTACTATTACCAACTCTTGCCAACTTGGAATGGTAGAACAGCAGTTCCTAGCCCAATCGTTCAGTGATTTCCGGCACTGAGGGCAGTCTTCATGTTCCGTTTGGTGCTGGCTCTCATGTATAAATACGCCGCATGTTTAAACATGCAGTCGCTGTGAAGAACCCTCCACCAAGCTGTCCTATGACAACTTTCTCCCGCATTTCCGTAGAGTCGTGTGATATTAGCTCAAGCTCGTCCCCTGTGGGTACATTTCTATTGTCATATTTCATTACATTTCTCATATCTGGCCAAATCTGAATTACAGAGAAAAATTAATCTTTACTTTAATGCTTACTTAGTGAGATGAGGATTCTCACGACGTGAAACCTTCCTTTTCGATGTGACCTGAACTCTCTCTCTTACCGTTCGTACTCTGAGTAAATGAGCTTTGAACCTATTTCAAGCCATTGACATTAAAGATGTGCAAACGGTTATATTTCTTCCTGACCTTCGTGGTTTGTGAGCCTTGTGCTCTTTCAGGTTCTAAAGACGAGGAATTCTCCTGGGAACAATACGAGCAGACGTGCGACATTCTGGTGGCACCGAAGACTCTCTTCAAAAAACAAACCCCTGTAAGTTCTGGGACGGAGGTGGAATGCAAAATTCTTTGTGTTGCAGAAATAATTTTGATAAGGAGATATGATGTAAAGCGGTGGTGCACAACTCAGGAAACGCAGAATTCCGTGGTCAGTAAGTCACGGCTCAAATGCGCAGTGAAAGTTGTTGACGGAGTAATTTTTTTTTTCTTTGTTAATTTCACCATGCACTCCACAACCCACTTTTGGGATGCGATCCACCAGCTTAGGAACACTAGTGTAGAGCCCCCCTTTTGGCTGGTTTCATTACTGTTGTTTGGGTCTCAGTTCCAACCGCTGGTCTCACTGTTACACAGAAAGACTGTACTGACTGTAAGAAGTGTGTGTGGTATGAGGAGCACCATCTTCCTTAACTGGAACGTGTCTCATGCATTTTGGTCACAGATTGAGAGTATCTCCAGCTTCCAAGTGAGTATGAAGCTGGAAGCGGTGGACAGGAAGAACCCCTGTCTGGTGTGCGTGGCCTCCGTCGCTGACGTCATAGACCATCGCTTCCTGGTTCACTTTGACAACTGGGATGACACTTACGACTACTGGTGAGTTGGCAGCTGTATGGTCGCGGCATTAGCACATGACTAATAGGGTGGTGAGCATAAGTAGTGAAAAAAGTTCATGATTTGTGCCCTTATTGGCTTGTGTGAAGAGTTCATGGCAAGGCGCAGGGATAAGAGAAGTGGCCAGGCGGCCCTGTGGGTGGCACCGTGGTCTCTTGGCTTCAGGTGCAGTTTCCGCTCTGGCATTTTGTGTGCATGCGGCCCCTATATTCTGGTCTCCTCCCACGCTCCAATGGAATGTGGTTTAGGAGACATCAGCATCTCTGTTTTGCCATCAGTGTGTGTTCACGTGCACTCTGTGGTGACCAGGCGTGCCTTTAAGGGTGGTTCCTGTGCTTCCAGGAATATGCCTCAGGTTTGCTCTGGATAAGTTCTGCAAAACACCTCAGTGTTGATTTTGTGATATATTTAAATAAACAGTCATCCTCTCCAACCAGTGAACAGCATGGTTTGGTTGGATATTGAACATTAGATATGTTCACATTTAGAGCCCTGAAATGAGTGTTCTGTTGGGAGGTGAAATTGAATTTACGTGACTAAATTACATCCTTTAATTAGAAAATGTTGATTAAAGCATGCCTCTTTTATATCTGTAATCATCTGGAGGATCATCTGGAATTTACCTGACGCTGCAAAGAGAAAAAACTCCGTAAAGCGGAGAGAATGTCTGAAGCAGGAAGTAGCTGTGAGGGCGTCTCTAGCGTCTGCCTGGATTCTTTCACATGAATGCTTTTAGTTGCCATGGCGCTGCAGGTGTCGTCACGGTGACATTGTGATGTAACGCCTCATCTGTCGCAGTATTAACATACCCTGTTCGTTTCAGGTGTGACCCCAGCAGTCCACATGTCCACCCCGTCGGGTGGTGCCAGGAACGTGGCCGACCTCTCACGGCACCTCAGGGTGAGTAACACGTCACGCACCTTCACTTAAAGGAAGCGCCAAATCAAAAAACTCAACAGGTGGGGGCGTGGCTGAAATATCCACCCGTATCAGGCTGATGCAGGTCATCCAGGAGAGGTTCAAAAATACAGTGGTACCTCAGTTCTCGAACTCATTAGAACTCTAATTTCTTAAAAGTCGAACCAACCAGTTTGAAAAAAAAATGACCTAGAGCTCGATCTGAATCTCAGAAGTCAGACCGTGAACACCGACCTAAGATAACTTGTACGCGTGGGGAAATGAGTCACGCGGCATGTCTCTCAGCGGAAACAAAGGGTAACGCTTCAGTCTCAGCCTCGCATTCGCTGTGATAGCATCGTACATGTTTACACAAGCTGAATACATATATTTAGACAGTAAAAATACATTTAGACAATGATAGACAGTAACAGTAATTATTATTATATAATAAAATACATTTAAAAATAAAGATTTCTTATTCATTATTTTAATATTAATAATAAACCATTAATATGTTTAATTATAATAATATTGTCGTGCCGAGCGGGGACAGAATGGAGACAAAGGCGCAGACTTCAGGGTATCAGGGAATATGGGGTTTAATTACAGGTAAGGCAGGCAAAAGGCAGACGGACAATATAATGACCAGACTGGGGAAACAAACTGAAACATAGACGAAATACAGAGGACTAATGACAAGAACCAGAAACAGCTGATCACACGGGGATTCCACACGGGGTTAACGAGGGGGCGTGGCACACGGAAGGAACGGACGATCGGGGCAGGATTCATTGTTTGGATGCATTTACAAATTACTGTTTTGATAAATGTACTTAGATGTGTTTAGTACAGTATATGTATTCTTGATTTATCCGGTTCATTTTGTGTTTAAATGCTTAAAAAACATATTTAGGTGTCATTTTTTGGGGCCAGGAACCAATTATTTATTATTTATTATGGGGAAAATTCGATCACAACTCAAACTTTTTAGGTTCCGGAGTTCTGAACAGATTAAATTAGAGTTCTGAGGTACCACTGTAAATAAAAAAATCCCATATGCAGTGTCATCACTCTTAACTTTGCCTGCATATCCCTTAAAAAATACAAATGTGCGAAGGTGTTTGTCCTTTGAGCTTCATGAGCGACAGAGTGCTTCCCGTGTGCTGGGTTCCTGCTTTGCGGTGTGGTTTGGGTTGAGCGGCCCGGGCATGGTGAGTGTGATAGCTGGGTCATACGTGTTGCACAAAAAAGGAAGTACTGAAATGACCTTCCTATTTTGGTCACTGCCTGCGTTCTGATTGGCTGTCCCCCGTATCTGACTGATCCTGTTGTTAAATGCCTTCAATATGCACCAGCCCCCACAGACTCTGGGAAGGAAAGTAATGGTTATTCACTGACATTTGCCGAAGCCAACTGATGTTTTGTTTTGGGGGGGGGTTGCAGCTCTGTTTTACCTTTCTGATTTCCACATTGTCAATTGTAACCAGAACTACAATGCATCGTCTGCTCCGGCCAACAGAAACTCATGCCCTATATTTGTCCGCAGTTTAACTGCGCAGCCTCACAGCTCTGCC